ACTTATGTACACGCGTTAGAAGTTATACTTCTTTGGCATAAAAAAAAAAATGTAAAAATGATTGAAGAAAAATGTTAAAAACAATCAAAAATGTTTTATTATAGTCAAAATTTTGCTATATTGTATAAATATAAAATCATTAATTATCGTATGAATTAAATTCAATATTATTTTTAATTTTCTGAATAAACTATAATTTTGGAGTTGTAAAGTATCAACAGTTTACAATTGATAATTATAAAATATTTTAATTATTTATTTAAAATATTCGTTTCTTATATAATAGTTTATTATTTATTATTTAACCGAGTGATAATATCTTTTTAATTAATATTTTTTCAAAAATAATATTAATTACATGAATTAAACGATTTAAAAATATTGTAGTACAAAACTAGATTTTGTTTCCAATAAAATTCTGAAAAATTACTAAAATGGTTTATAATATACATTTTAAGAAATATGGATAGAATTACTAAATTCGATAAACGAAATGACTAAGGTAGTACCTCCACGAAAAGCATATTTCAAGCAACTTATGGAATTTTTTTTTTTTATCGAAAGATAAATATATTAATAATGGAATTTATTAAGGAATTTTAAATCTTAATTTATAATTTGCGATATAGTTTATTTTAAATCATTCTAATTCAAGGGCTTTTAAAGCGTATTCTTATTATAATTGGCCTTGTTTAAATCTCAATGTTTAAATTTTATTAACCAAATTCTATTATCTAAATCATATTAATAAATCTAAATTTTAGTATACCAAATAATTCAAAAAATCTCAATATTTAAATATTCATAACTATAAACCAAAACTTATATCCGAATATTACAAATAATTTTTAACTTTATTAATTTTTTCTCGACCGCGACAATTACATTTTTTTATATCTCGTTCTTGCCTTTTCGGTCATATTTTTTTGATCCTAGTGTATCTAATTCATGTGGATGATGTTATTCCATCTTCACTAATGCTTTTAGGAAATATAAGAAAATTACAAATAATTATTCAACTGAATATTTTAATGTAGCCTTTTATCTATCTATATTTTGTATTTTATATAATTTTAAGTAACTTGGTAAATAATCTAATGTATACTTATATTCATACACATTTCAAATGTAATTTAAATACCTTGCCATTCAGCCTGTGCCTTGGCATTTATCATGAATAAATAAATAAAATAATTTACCAACAAAATATCAGATCAATTACCGCACCGTTTTTGAGTAATTAATTTTTGAAATTGCATCTTTTACACGTAGAGGTATAGAGAAATGGTAAAGTTAGTATGAAATCTATTTTCATCATTCGAGTGGTACGGAAAATTTCATACTAACTTTACCATCTCTCTATACCTCTACATGTAAAAGATGCAATTTTGAAAATTAATTACTCAAAAATGGTGCGGTAAGTTAATCTGAATTTTTTGTGGTGAATTATTAATATATTTATCTTTCGATAAAAAAAATTCCATAAGTTGCTTGAAATATGCTTTTCGTGGAGGTACTACCTTAAGTCTATATTAAAAAATCTATATTAAGGGCGGGGTATAGGTTTTCACTTTCGAAAAATTGTTTTTTTTTTGTTTTATCTTATTGTTTAAGATTTCAAGAATATGTCCTCAAAATTTTAATCCGATCTAAGCAATATTCTTGAAGTTATTGTATAATTAGTCTCGGGGCCTTTAACGCTCTAACTCTAACAGCTACGGGCGGTTGGGATTGCAGTGCAGCTGTCGAGCAGGTATACAGGTTATTCATTGCTATTGTCCTGATCCCATATCCAGTTTTAGAAATATTATATATATCTACTTTATAAATATAATAAAGTTGTAAAAACCGGAAAAAATGCTGGTAAAACAAGACAAAGTAAATTACTCGGTGACAAAGGAAAGCTCACTGGAAAGTCATTGATAATTTGAGTCGATACTACGGAGCAGCAATCAGACATAATTGTGATTCCTTAGAAGGAATGAAAAATGCAATCTGGGCAACGTTCTACCACCAGCAGTCAACAGACGATAACCCTCAACACCATAAGTGCATGAGCGGTGAGAACTCGTGGTGTTCATATCAAAAAGCTTTGGCCATAACAGGAGTGGAAAATTTTAGTCATGACTACACTCCACTTCCACAAGATGTCATAGAAGCGATCAAACCGATTTATGAAGATTTGAGTAAAGACGAACTTCTAGAAAGGTGTCTTAAAGGTTTTACTCAAAATGCCAACGAAAGTTGAACCAGCTGATTTGGAGAATTGCACCGAAAAAATTATCTGGCAGCAGACAAATTGTTGAATTTGCATCTTATGTAGCTGCATGCACATTCAATGAAGGTGCTGGGGCTCTTCTAACTTTCCTGTCTGACATGGACATCAGTGTCGGCCCAAGCGCTTACGAGTATGCATCATCTACGGACAGCAATCGCATTGACTGCCATTTGAAAACTACTCGACCGACTTATTTCAAATTTTGTACACATTTTCTTTATATAAAATACCTCCCCCCTACGTTTAGTAAAAATTTTTTTTTTAACATTAAGGGTGTTTCCCACCCACAAAATGGCGGAAATTTTAGTCGAAAATAACGGTTCACATTTTAGATGGCCGCCAAGAATTGTTAAATTAAAAAAAAAATAATCAGAGAACGTTGGGGGAAGATTTGTTTATAATTTGACTAAATTTTTATCGTTTTTCATTTTCAGATAATTTCCGGCCGAGTTACAGTGAACACCGCAAATTGTTTTTTTTTTCAAGACGTCCTGGGGAAGCTCTGTCACGCGTTAATGGTTCAATATTTTTGGATGAAAAATTTACAGAACATAGTCAAAACTATGCTCAATAATGTATAGAAGGTTTGAATAAAATTTCTCAATCGATATTTGAGATAAAAAATCACAAAAAAAGTGTTTTTTTTACGCTGAAACCCATACCCCTCCCTTAAAAAATTATGAACTCAATAAAAAGATACCTAAATATAATAAATACTAAAATATTTATATTTTAGTTTAAATATTTGATTTCATGAAATTATTATTATTTTAGAAAAAAATATAAATTAAAAAGAAATTATTACCAAGTTGAATTAAAACTAAACAATCAAATAAAATATTTAATTGACCATTTTTTAGAATTGATTATTAATATGAATAATATATTTCATATTAAATGGCATTTCTATCGAATTTAAAAATAACAACGTTTCGTTGGATACTTTGCGACTAGCTTGTATATGAGTTAACTTAGTCAGTAAAAGAATTCTATCTTTTTAATTATATTTGTGACCAACTTCATCATGTCGCTTTTTTGGGACATGATGTGCGTGTAGCTCACAAATTTCACTCTCATCCAAACGCGTCAAAAGAAGTATAACTTCAAAAAAAAGTAAATTTTTTTTCTGATAGTCTACTCCCGATGTAATTAATGATCAATTAACTGAACTTAAAACTAACGATTTGCGTCCGTTGGTAACTGATTGCACTTAACCGGCCTGTCACTCAATAGGTAGCAGCTTTTGACGGCAACTTTTGTCTTGCTTTCGGGCCCGCGAAAATTTGTTTTGAAGACAAGTTTCCGTGACAAATATATTAATGTAATATTTATCGTGCTGCGCAAGCAGGTAGATAGGCGCAGGACACATGAAGATCTACTCGGATGAACTTTTCGATTGACCTGGGCTTAAAAATGAAATTATTAAGTTGTGAACGAATAATGCTTCCAAAATATTACCAGGACCGAAGTGTTACCAGCCATAAGTCCCCTCGTCGTTGTATTGGCTGAGGGACAGCTTAAAATCGACACGATTGCGCTTTTAAGAATAAATCAGAGCTTTCAAGGTCAAACTTTTAATTTTCAGCTTTAAAAATTTGGCTATTTAGATGTAATAGTGTATTTTAGATATACTCATGCTCGTGAAGAAACCTTGTGTACCAGCCGTCAGTTTCATTTTTATGCACTGGGTAGCACTGTTAGTTGGAGTTGATAGTTTTAGTTTTTGGAGTGGGGAGCTGGGGGCCCTGCTCCAGTCAGTTGAGTTGGTCGTCAGTCAGTCGATCTTCGAGCGTACAACCAGGACGATCTCCAAAGAAGCTAACGGGCAATTTACCAACAAGATCAAGCCAGTTGTATTAGCGAAGACGAGATCAGTTTAGTTAATTATTAGTTAGTTGAGTGAGTCAGTCGTTGGTCCGCGAGCGAACAGTAAGCAGCAAAATAAATTGGTTTGTGAGTCAGTCTGTTTTAAAAGTGAAGATCAGTCCATACTGTTTGAGAAGTCAATGGAGAGCCTTCCCACCGAAAACGACGTAGTCTAGAAAAACCGCGTCGTAAGAAATATTCTCACCGTTGAGTGAATAAAGTATTTAGTAAAGTTATTTAGTAAAATTTAGTAAAGTAAATTTATAAGTATTAATTCCAATTCAAATAATGTAATTATTCAATTTTTAAATTGATTTGTCGCGCAGTTTCTCCGTTGGAGTTGATCCAAAGACTCCTCGCGAGCTTCCTCCTATATTAAATTGGCTTAAATAATTTATTGCACATTTATCTTTTGAAGTATATCTTATTTGTTGAGTTAGGATCACTTTAAAGATATATTATTATAAAATTCCAAATTTATTAAATAATTTGATTACTTCCAACAATCGAGCCTCTCTCCATCATACTATATTCATTCTCAATCAAATAAATTTATTCTGTGACCGAATCTTGGATTATCCCACTCTCTGAGAGTAAGCTCCGGCAAAAAGGAGACGCGGTTCTAAGAGGCCGAGTTTTCCATAGATCTTATATTTCTCTTGGTGGTGTCCACAACATCTCTGGCGTGAGACTTTCGAGACTGGGCCAGGAGGGCACACAACCTGCCAAGGACTAACTATTATAAGGAGTTAACAATTATCGTTCAATAACATTTCTCCGTAATTTCCACAATTTTGACCAAAAATATAACGGTTGCCTATTTGAATCGATTTTCAGTAGTAAATTTTTTTATGTTTTAATGTTCGACAGTTGTCACACGATCTTCTGACCAAAGATATTATAAAAAATTTGTATTTACCTATGTAAAGAATTCCATCTAAGTCCAAATTTTCATTACTTCCTTCACTAAGAATCACCGTAGCATTATCATCAATAGCCAATGTATGTTTTTTAGGAGCAGGGCGACTTATAGTGACTGAATGCCATTTGCCATCATTCAACCTTGATTTTGCTATATCTCGAATCCGAAGAGCACCATCTCCGAGATCAATTACATAATGCACATGACCATCAAGAAGTTCAATAGCGATGAAATCCTTTCCTTTGCCGGCATTGAAAAGAATCAATCCATTGGACTCTTTTGTCTTGAACTATAAAAAAACAACATAAAAAGTGATATTATTTATTAGGTTTTATCTGAATACAATTACTCAATACAATATCTTTAAAGAGTGATTCAGAATGATTTTTACAGTGTAAAATTTTGAACGTAAATGGCTATTCTAAGCATAAAGTTCTATCGTCACCTTTCAAAATTTTGATTAGTTTTTCAACTATGTAACATCATAAATCGCCTCTTGGATACTGATTTAGAATTCTGAGCATAACTACGAATAAATATATGATAAGCTTAGCAATATTAGAGTTATCATCTCAGAAAAACACTAAAATTTTCCAGTTATGTTCAAAATTTTAAATCAGTTAAGACTAGTTTTTTTTTTATAAAATACATCATTTAATCAACCTCAGACAATTATATGAATGTAATTTGTAATTTTTATTTATTCGCTATAAAAGTTATAATTGGAATTATAATATTTATTAGTAGATTTAATAAAAATGTAAGAATTCAATATGTTTTCGAGCGCCATTTCTAGACCATTGTGACGGTGATATTTAGTTTTCGTGTGTGTCCCTCCCTGCGCCTAGATTTAGTAACAGATTTACACTAAGTGTGTCACATTTCATTATTTAGTGTTAGTTTATTCATTCCATTGAATTCATTATTATTTATATTTAAGAACTATTATATTCCCGATGAAAAAAGTTTTCGTCTAATTATATATAACCATGCATAATGATCTATATATGATTGGATCCGAAAATTCGCCAGGTCTAATTATATATGATCAGATAAAACTTTATATGATTATATGTTGTAATAAAGAAATAAGTTTCAACTGACGGTGGAGAGGCCAGTTGTCATTTATCCTTGTCCAGGTCACCCAAAAATTGACAAAAAATACTAAATAAACAAAAAAATGACTTAGGAGGTAACTCTTAGCCTCCCAAGCAACCCGCAGCTTTTCCTCAGGCTGGGTTAGTGCACGGTATTGGACACCAGCTATTCTTTACCAGGAAAGAGCAAACCTCTGATTTTCCAGGGCCGATCTGCAGGTATTCAAGGGAAAGATAGATTATACTAATATTAGGAAAGAACGCCTTTCCAAAAAAAAAACGCCTTTCCAAAAATTTCAGGATCTCTTAAGATCAGGACAAGGTATAATACAAAAAAATTGAGCCAAAATTTTAATGGCGCTCTTCATTTTTGACGATTTTCAAAAATTCAAAATTTGACAAATTTGGCATTTTTCAGAATTTTTTTCGAAAATATTTTTTTTTTCAATAGCTCTAAATGTCCCTTTTCAAACAAACGAAAGACCGTTCCTGTATCTATAATAGCATTCGAGATATTGCAAAAACAAAATTTAAAAACAAATTGAAAAATCGCGAAATTTTGAATTTTCATATCTTTCGAAAAAAATTTTTTATTCTTTTTCCTTTGGCAGAACTTAGTTTTATGATAAAAGAAAACTTCTGACCAAAATTCATCTAAATCGAAAGGGGTCGATTCCAACTATTGGTCGATTTGACATGGAATGACCCTAATAATTAATTAAATTTAATGCGATGAATTACTTGGCCCCCAAACATTGTTTAAGCGCCGTCAACAAATTAAAACGGCCAACATGGGTTTTCGGAGCTGTAGACGACATATCTGAAAGGCGAATTGTAAGTTTGTTTGAAGATTATGATCTTTAGGGTAATAAAGCTTTAGCAAGGAGAATAGCCAGAGGAATAGAGATGGCGAAAGGAATAATTAAACAGAGAGAAAAGCATTTCCCTACTCAGGTGGCCCCTCGGCCCTGTGAACCAGCTTTAAGTTTTTTATGTGGGTTCGGCCTACCGCATTACCCTCGGGAGTCTCTAATTCGACGATCACAAGAGTGACTGCTGCAAGAACCCGAAACAGTCTGACAAAGCTCGGAGCTAATTTTCTCACGACCTGCTTCCCTTTATTCGATAAGACTTTATTGGGTCTATATTCTACATTTCCCACATAAAACCGCAAATTCCGATGACGCAGGTTATAATTTCTCGCCTGTCGCTCGGACGTTTTACGAATATTGACATTTACCAAGTCCTGTAATTTGACTAGACTATCCATGCGCTGCACCAACGCAACAACCTCGGCTGGCTGATCTACCTGTATAATACTTTCAGGGGTTAGACCGTGGTCTCTTATGGGGCATGGATTACAACCCAGATTCAAGAAAGCTGGACTTACCCTCAGGGAGTCGTGCGTAGCCGCATTGTACGCCAATTGAAATTCGTAGATATATCTGTCCCAGTCCCGGTAGTCTTCCTCCAAATAGCTCATAATCTTAACGTTATGGTTCACTCGTTCTACCGGGTTAGCCTGCGGATGATACGGCCGGGTGTTCAGATGCTGCATACCGCATTCCTCCGAAAAGGAGTCAACCTCTTTGTTAACGAATTCTTTCCCGTTGTCGGTTCAAAACACCTTTGGCGTGGCCCAACGGATGATCATCGCCTGCCGTTAACTACGAGTGACGATTTTCCCGATGGCTGCGCGAATAGGAACACATTCGATCCATCGGGTGTACAAATATTTAAAATTGAGCAACTTCGCGAATTCCGACTTGGACCGCGTAAACGACATTGTGTCAGCGGTTCCCAAGGCTGCCCCAAGTGTGTATGAATGTGTTTTTTTTTTTTTAGGTTAGTTAGTGTGACCAACCCATTAAAGGCGAGTTTTGTCCACGGAAGCGTATTTTATTTAACTCCTACCCTCTGTACCTTATCAACTGGGAGATTATCCAAGTGTTATCCAAGGACAGCGAGTGTCAACCCATCCGCTACGGGGAGACGCGCCTGGTAGCAGTTTCTCCTCTGCCGCAGGTGTGTGTGTGGGTGTGTGTGTGTGTGTGTGTGTGTGTGTGTTTTTTTTTTGGGGGGGAAAGAATCCTTTTTACGGATTCTAGGCATAGTTGTTGGCCTGGATATGTGGCGACTCGACACAGCGTCACACTAAAACTCGACGCTGACGCCCCTACCCACTAAACTCTAAACACCTTTCTCTTCTATCCTCTGATTCCCTATGGGACCGCTATAAGGCATTTCTTCGCGGGGGGACTAATTAGCTGCCGCTCTTCCTTCTGGTGGCTAAGATGTTATTTCTTCCTTCTAGTTTTTGTTATTCGCTCTTTTTCTTTCAATGAAACGCAGCTCTGTGAGGACTTCTGTGGCAAAAGTGCTTGTAGCATTCCAAGCAGTTTGACTCGACAACATTTTCTCTACTATTGTCTCTGGTTGGATTCTCCAATTCAGGATCCTTTCTAACTAATTTCGCTAAGGATCAAAACGTGGACACGCAAAGAAAACGTGCTCTGCATCCTTAATAACTCCTGGACAAGACGGGCACTCCAGAGAATCGTCATGCTTAAAGCGGTGCAGGTATTCTCGAAAGCACCCATGTCCAGACAACATCTGCGTTAGATAATAGTTGACTTCGCCATGATTTCGGTTCAGCCAAACATCGATCTTTGGTATGAGGTGGTATGTCCATCTTCCTTTTGCTGCGGCGTCCCACTTAAGTTACCATCGCGAGATGCTGTGCTGCCCTTCTTCTATTCTAAGTTCTTCAGGGCTCAGTGCAGTTGACCTTTTTCGTTGGTAAACGTCCCGTCTTTCCTCTGCTAGTACTCTAAGCGGCAGGGTTCCAGCAATGACGCACACTGCTTCTTCTGATATTGTGCGGAAGGCACTGGCAACTCTCAGAGCGCTCTGTCTGTAAATTGGACCCGCTTTTCTCCAAGATTCTTGCGTTTCTATGTGTGTGTGTGTGTGTGTGTGTGTGTGTGTGTGTGTGTGTGTGTGTGTGTGTGTGTGTATGTTTTTTTTCCCATTAGGGGTGGGGGAATCCTTTTTACGGATTCTCGGCGTAGTTGTTTGGCGTGGATATGTGGCGACTCGACGCAGTGTCATACTAAATTTCAACGCTAGCGCCCCTACCCACTAAACCCTAAGCCCTTTCCCTCTTTCCTCTAATCCCTCATGGAAACCGCCGTTAGACATTACTTCTTGGGGGGAGGATGTAGCGACTGCTCTTCCTTCTGGTAACTAAGGTATTATTTTACCTTTCTTCGAGTTGTCATTTGCTCTTTTTCTTTCGATGGAACGCAAGTCTATAAGGACTTCTGTTGCAAACGTGTTTGCGGCGTTCCAGGCAGCCTCTGATGACAGCATTGCTTCTACTATCGTCTCTGGTTGGATTTTCTTCTTCAGGATTATCTCCAGCTCATCTCGCTGTGGGTAAAATCGTGGGCACTCATAGAAAACGTGCTCCGCGTCTTCATTGATTCCTGGGCAGGACGGGCACTCTGGTGAATCATCATGCTTGAAACGGTAAAGTTATGTCCGAAAACATCCATGTCCAAAACATCTGCGTCAGATAGTAATCGACCTCGCCATGACTCTGGTTTAGCCAAATGTCGATCTTCGGTATAAGACGGTGTGTCCATCTTCCTGTTGTCGCGGCGTCCCACTGCGATTGCCATCGTGTGATGCTGTTCTGCCGTTCTTCAGCTCTGAGTTCCTCGGCACTTAGTGTGGTTGACCTCCTTCGTTGGTAAAGGTTCCGTCTTTCCTCAGCTAGAACACTGAGCGGCAAAGTTTCGGAAATGACACCCACTGCTACTTCTAATATCGTGCGGAATGCACTGGCTAGTCTTACAGCGCTCAGTCGATATACTGGTCCAGCTTTTCTCCATGATTCTTGCAACTTCAGCGCGTCTGCCCAAATGGATATTCGATATGTGAGCACCCATGTGACAACTGATGATAGTAGTAGTCCTGCTCTGCTTTGGGCCTTCGACGGTCGGCATCAGTCGTGCGAGACTAGCCCTCACTACTGACGCTTTGGCACTGACGTATTCCACTTGCTGTTTAAAGTTGAGACGGGCATCAAGCATCAATCCCAAATATCGGACATAAGGTTGTGATGTGATTTCTTGTTCGCCGACTTTCAGCTTGTTGGTCTCTAACACTTTTCTGCTGGATATAAGCACTGCCTCAGTTTTGTGTGTAGCCAGATGCAGGTTTACCGTATTTATCCACCGATGGACTTGCTCGAAGGTGATGTCAAACATGTTGTTATTCTCGTCGAGGTGTTTAGCGACGATTACTACGGCTTCGTCGTCTGCATACGCTACGAGTTTTACACTTCTTGGCAATTTCAATCTCAATAGGCCATCGTAAATGATATTCCACAGCAGTGGACCAAGTACAGAGCCCTGGGGTACAGCTCCGGTGATATCGTACCCTTTTTGACCATTTTTTGTATCGTATTTAAGAACTCTTATGCCATGCATTATAAGCGTCTAGGAATAATGTTGGAGCTGCCTTTATGATGGTTTTCAAGGCTAAATTAGGGATTCCGTCCAATCCCGGCGCTTTATTATTCCCTACACGGTTACAAGCCTCCAGCAGTTCTTCTTCAGTGACAGGTGGGATGTCGTCTAATTCGCCTGGCGCCAAATGGTAATTGAAGTTGCGTTGCTGTAGAAACAGTGCAGTGACGATTTTCTGAAGAGTTAGGGACACGTAGGTGATGGCATTTGTTGTTTTTTCAGGTGGGTCATAACCACCTTATAAGGCCTACCCCACACGTCTTTATCCACCTTGTATATAAGCTCTTTCCAGCATCTTCTTTTGCTCTCTTTGATGGCTTTATTCAGTTCACGACGCGCCTTTTTGTACTCTGCGATCAGCTCCACTGAGTTAGGCCGTTGATAGCCACGCTGAGAGATTCTTCTTTTCTTATGAAACTCTTTATGGAGGACGCTGATGTGGTCGTTCCACCAATGCACCGAAGGTCTCGAATTTATGCCACGTTTACGAGGCATACTGGCATCACAAGCATCTGTTACTCTTCTCATCAGGTCCTTAGTCTCTTCTTCTGCACATCCAGTGTTGATCAGATCACCATCGAGGGCTATTAGTAATGCTTCTGGGTCAAAAGATTTTACCTTCCAATTAACGATGTTAGTCTGCTTGACTGGTTTCTTGGGGTTCTGGTCGCTTGATATTTCCCAGAATATCGCATGATGGTCGCTGGCAGTGTAGATGTCCAACACTTTCTAGTTGCAGTTGCCTCTAGCAAGGCTATTACTGACAAAAGTGAGGTCTACAATTGAGCTTGCGTCACCTTTGGTGTAGGTCGGCGTATCACCACTGTTGAGCAAAACTAAATCTAATGTAGTAAAGGCCTCCAGTAGTGCTTTCTCTCTTGCGTTTGTATGTTTGCTGCCCCAGTCAACTGCCCAGGAGTTGAAGTCTCCGGCTATCGCTACTGGATGATATTGCTTCGCATCTTCGGTTAGTCGATCCAGGAAATCAGTGAAGTCAACAATGGAGATGCTAGGTGGTGCGTAACAGCTATAGAAGCGAATGCCCTCTACTGATACTGCTACAAAGCCGGCATTGCTGTTGTCGACTGCATTTTGGAAAGCGAGCTTGCCACATGACCAGATGACAGCTTTGGATGTGCTGTCAGATTCCCAGGGTTGGGTACTCAGGTGTTTATATGGCTCTGCTATCAGTACCAAGTCAAGCTCTAGTTCTCGCACGGATTGCATGAGCAGGTCATGCGCTGCCTCACAATGGTTGAGATTGAGCTGCAATATCCTCATGCTTGTTTGTTCGTCAACTTCTGGAGCGCCTCCTGAAACACCGGGCATCTGTAGATGCCGGCATGGCGAGCCACGTTCTTTGCTCCTTGCTGCTCAGCACATATTGCACACTTGGCAGAATTTTTACAGTCAGCGATACGGTGCCCTTCTTGTCCACCTCTGATGCAGAGTTGAGATCGGTCTACTTGGATTTTACATTGGGATCCGAAGTGCCCAAAGTGCCAGCATTTGAAGCATTGGACAGGATTCTTCGTTGCTCTTATTCAACAGTTGGCCCAACCAATTCTCACTTTGCTGTTTCCTTCTAGTAACTTCTGTGCAGTTGTCGCTGGTAGTGTCACTGTAGCAGTCTGAGTATCTCTGTAGGCTTTACGGATCTTGATCGACTCCAGAGGTATTTCACAGATTTCTCCGGCTTCTATTTTCAGTGCAGTTTGAATGTCTGCCTTCATCGTGTCGTCATTGACGTCTCGGATCTCGATAGTCTCCTGTGGCCCTTTGCATATCACTTTGGCTTCCTCTTCAAGGATGTCCGCGATGGTCTTTTATAGGGCTTTGCCTCTATCAGCACTCTTTCTCGAAAGTGTAATCAGCATGTCCCCGGTATTGGTCTTGTGGATTTTCTCCACGGTCGTACGGACCTGTTCATCAGGGACGGACTGCTTGATTTTACGCAGGATCTCGGCGTATTTCTCCTTCTCGGCCGGACGAATGATCAGTGCGTCGGGTCTGATCCATTTGCGGGGTTTTGTCCGCTCCGGCCTGGGCTCCTTTGCAGTCTGCTCAAGGAGCTGCTCTTTGGCTAGTCTCCTCTTCTCCTTCCTTGATTGGACGTTTTGCCAGGCAGCTGCGTCTTTATTTTTGGCGTTCTGCTTCGTCGCATCTTTCGGAGGACTTGGCTTCAGGTCCTTCTTCTTTGCCACTCGCCTTTCTGTTGGATCTGGCGAGTTTCGGTCCTTCCTCTTATTAGACTTGGGAACACCTTCACTCTTGTCGTCAGCAATAGATTCGCCGTCGCCATCGGCACCGGTGTTCATTGATTCCTCAGTCTCAATAACAGCTTGACTGCCTTTCTCTGGCGTAATGCGAGGCGTTAATCGTCGTGTAGCCTGCCAATCCTCATCCAGTGTTCTAAATCTTTGCAGGGCGTTGACTACGCTGGTCGTCTTTGTCTTGATCTCCTTGTGAATATTGACCTTGGATAGGACGAAATCCTGCAAGTCAATGGTCAGCTTTTCAAGGCGTTCCAGTGCTTTTGTTCTCTTCATTTCAGCGCTTGCTGTTATCGCCGCTTCTTGGGCATGAGGCCCATCAATACTCTTGTTAATTGCTCTCTTTTGCGTACTTCCTATAGCATTTCCAGACAGCAGAGCCATAGGGTCCACCCTGCTGTCGTAACGGTCGCTTGATAACGACGAGTTCAGGCCCGTTTTCACGCCTTCCCTCGCCGGCACTGAGGTATCCATCCTCTGTACTGTAGACAATGTTTCAATGTTCTCTCACATTTCCATATTGTTGTTGGTGTTGTTCATTTCACACTACCCGGAGAGCACGTGTAGGGTGTTAAAGCAGTACCTACAGACGCGAACAACGCTACCCTCGTCTTGTTAGGTCAGTTAGTGTGACCAACCCATTAAAGGGGAGTTTTTGTCGACGGGAGCGTATTTTGTTTGGTTATTTTGCTTGGCTCCTACCCCCTGTATCTCATCAACTAAGAGATTATCCAAGTGTCATCCAAGGACAGCGAGCGTTCTCCCATCCGCTCGGGGAGACGCGCCCGGTAGCAGTATCTCTTCTGCCCCGGGTGTGTATGTGTGTGTGTGTGTGTGTGTGTGTGTGTGTGTGTGTGTGTGTGTGTGTGTGTGTGTGTGTGTGTGTGTGTGTGTGTGTGTGTATGTGTGTGTGTGTAAATAAATTTTTCTGTTTTTTCGTTTAGATGATTCGTTTATGGGTTATCGTTGTCGAAAGAAAACGGAAAAAAGTGTTTTTTCGGAATTACTACGAAATTCCTAGGTTGATCAATTTAAACTTGAAAATTTTTTATGAGGCTTGAAAAACTGCATTAAATGCCGTCAACCACGTGAAAATTCAAAAAATAGTGTTTTATTAAACTACTATCTGACATGAGCGCTTTATACTCCATTCACGAGTTAAAAGTATTGCTGTTGTGTTGCTGTCAGATTGATAATAGTCTGTCTATTATAGTACTCGAATGTGATCAATTTGTCATGAATCATAAATTATATCTTAGAAACTGTGTTATAATTACAATAAATGAAACTTATCTCAGACAATTTTATAATAATCGTCATGAAAGTTTCTGAGAAGGTTCCATGCGTTGATATCCCCGGACATTACATCCCGCGATGCTGTGTCAGCGTCATAAGTCCGTGACAAATTTGGGAATTAGGTGAATAAAGGATAAAGGGGAAGGGGAGGACCTTTTTTTCACTCAGTAGGAATCTCTTTAGTGACTGAAAAAATATAATTCGGACAGCCCGGACCGGGAATCGAACCCGGATCGTTCGGTTACGCGCCAAAGGCTCTACCAGTTAAGCTATCCGAGACCTTGTCCGTAACTACTATTCAGTCACATATTAAAGACCTGACTTGAGTGAACGCCACTGTCCATCTTACGGTAATAACAAATATTAATTTGTAGTTAAATTTGTCGTGTGGATAAGTCAGCGACATGATCGGGGATACAATGTCGGGGATATAATGTCATGAGGATATTAACACCTGGAACCTCTGAGAGGCCTAATACCCTTAACTTTGAAATTCAATTCCATTGAAACTGTATTGTAAACAAATTCGATTATTATAAATCGATGAAGATTTATTTAAATATTAATACATCTCAATTTGAAGAAAATTCTACAAAAACTGACTTGACGATGACACTACAGTAAAGAATAAATCTGTCCTGTAAGCTTCAGAACTAAATGAAAAAATTAAATAATACTTACGGGAAAAAATGAAATGAAAGGAAGCTAAAATCATATGCTAAGATCTAATATTCTCAAAAAATGCAGAAATAAATAAAATTATCTTACCTGAAAATATATATTCGTCTCAACATATGCCTTTAAGATAGGGAGTCCGATAAATGTGTGTTTTGATTTGAAGGCAACTGGCTTGTGAACTCGATGAATTCGTTTTTCAAACTGGCCTGTCACTCGAATAATTGGTGTGATGCCTTGATGCGTATGCTCACGCGTACCAAAGTTTCTAGCCAGTTCAATGTAAGCATTCCCATTAAACCAAAACTGTTGAAGGTGTCCAATGAAATTAGCAATGTGTATACCACTATGAAGATAACCACCAATATGAAAACATCGGAATTCCAAAATTGCATCATTGCTGAATTGTGAATCAACTGGAATAATTAACAAGTATACTTTTTCTAACAGATCTGTTCGTACTGCTTGTCGATGTGCTTCAAAAATACTAATTCATAAGAGAACAAATCATTAGAATTCATCAATTGGATAAGTATTTTGAGGCCTTAACTTATATTGCTAGATTTACTAAAATGCATAAATATTTATTACTGAATAGATAATTTCATCTTCAAAATGATATTGTAAGAAAATTAAAAATGCACATCCAGATACAACTCTTTAAAAAATTTTCTTCAGTTATATTTTATAAACAAATCAGCAAATTTGAAATGCACAACTACATGCTATACAAATTTCTAAAAATTGTTCTTTATATTAAATAGTTATTGATAAAATAAAACTTTAATATCGAATAATTAGGAAAACGGTTGATCATAAAGGCCATTCCTGTAACTTCCCGCTAATCCCATATGTAAGCGCTCAAAATTGCACTTATAACATTTTTAAGCTTTTCTAGCTCAAAAATATAATTATCGTATCATTTTGAGCTCTCAGAGCTCAAAAGTCTGATAGAAGTATAATAAATCACCATTTTTTTAATTTTTAAACCACAATAACTTATAAATAAAAAAACTGATTTTCACCCGATTAGCGGCATTCGGCACAGTTTTCTAAGCCCGATTAGAAATTTTTAAGTTTGAATTCATCGATCTAAGAATTCCAAAGGAATTTCAAAAAATCACGGTTTTCGGTTTTTTATCAACAACGATAACTCACGACCAAATCAACCGACTTTGAACGGACTGGCGGTGATCAACGTGGTTTTTTGATTTTAAGAGCTAATTAGTTTTTGGAATTGATCAGTAAAGTCGTTTTAAAGTTATTCCAAAACAAACACGTTTGAAAAAAAAATTTTTAACTTCCTGCTCAGAAAATTGACAATTTTCAAAATTTTTAAATTTTTAATAGCATTACTTGTAAACATAACTTACACATACACATAACAAACACGAATAGAGCAGTCAAGGTATGCGCAACCGTGATAAAATTTATTGCGTTGCCAAACTTTTTACCTCCTTAAATGATGACTATTAAGGAATTCCTTATTAAATTTAACGCAATTTTGGCAATATTAAAAAATCCATAACTTGAATACAAATTCGATTCCTTAGTCCAAATTCTCAGGGATTTTTAGGAACATAATAAAGTAAGTTTCCTGAAAGTTTGAAGTAAATCAAAGTTCCGAGAAAAAAGTTCTAGCCATCTGAAAACTGCAATTTTTTAAAATTTGATTGGTTTCAGATGGCTATAACTTTACTTGATAGAAGCAATCAAGTCAAAATTGCATATATTCTACTAAAGTATAACCCAATAGAAGACTTTAGCTGCTGGTCGATCCTTAACTTCAAACACTATATATATACTAGTAATTTACAAATAGGTAAAATTAACCATAACAGTTCGTTAGTTAGAGGCTCTCAGCTAAGCCCTATATGAGTTTAGACCAAATATTTACTTTTTTCTTAAAAGTATAGTCTACTGAGAAAAATGCCGCTGGGCAGAAGTCTTTAAGATATATAGAAGCTGAAATACAAATATTCGAAAATCAGTGAAAAATCGACTTTTTTTAAAATTCAAAAAATTCTCCAGCGGCCAGATTTGATTAAATCGGGTCCAACTTTTCAGGATCGTCTGCTTTTGAGGTGTATTTTTGAGGAAAAAATCGGCATCAAAATCGCTGACCTGAGTGCGCACACTTTCGTCGAGAATTAATGGATCTGCCCAAATATATTAGGGTGGGTCAAAAAAATCGATTATTTTTTTTTTAACTTCTAAGATTGAAAAGTTGGTTCTCAGACACCTCTAGAAAATGCCCAGCAAATTTGAGCTCTTAATATTGATGGGAAGGTTATCCTCATCACAGTTTTACATTTTTCGTTAGTCTTTTATAAAAAAGCCCCCACGGAAAAAGTATATATTCTAGTATATATTCGGGAATATATTCTGAAATATATTCTAAATATATTTCGGATATACCCCGTTTTGCCCAACGAATATATTTCAAAATTATATATACCTGAATATATTCAGTATATATACGATGGATCAGACTATAGATCTGACAACAGACCAGACTATAGACCAGAGAAAAATTTTGAGTAAAACGGAATACAAGTGAGTGCATGCCCATATATTCCGGAATATATTCCTCGGGCAAAACGGGGTATATTCGGAATATATTCTCGGATATATTCTGGAATATATTTCAGAATATATTCCAGAATATATACTAGAATATATACTTTTTCCGTGGGGGACTATACGGAAGAAACCAGAATCTTGATATCTTCACTTTTATAATTTTATATTTTTTAATTTAGAACGTTACAACATAAAAATTTGTATATTAGCTACTTTTATACGCATTTGTAAGATGTGAAAATTGTAATTTTTCCTACAATTTTTTTTCCGTGTGTAAGGGCAGGTATTTGAAAACCCTGTCCTTGTAGTATAATATACTTTTTCTAATGTAAAAACTTATTTTCTTAAAATTATTTATTTTCAATCAATTCGCCCTCAATCATACAACCAATCAAATCTAATTAATATTTTATTTTGTGAGATGTGGTACAATTTATGTAGCAGTTACAACTGACCATCAGAAAAGCTTTTATTGTTATTTAAGATAACTGTCGGTTGAATTGAATAAAATAAATTATTTTTTAATTTTCGTTGTCGAAAATTGTACTTTTATTCTGATTTTCAAAGCTCTACCAAATCATCTTCTATTTAAAATGCATGAATGATTTCACAAATCTAATGCAAAATTTTTAATTACATGATTTCTATTATTCAATCGAATTTTAATTATTCAATTTATTCAAAATATCTATTTATATTGAAGAAATCAATGTACAGAATGTATATTGAGCGTTAAAAAGTAATTAATTATAAAGCAATGCATGAAATTATAATCCCACAAATGCTTAAATTGCAATTCAAGAGATAGAAATGATTCCATGTTTCTAAAACTGCGAAGATAAATGAGAACATTATCTCAAGGCTCTCAAAACATATGAAAATTATGCAGAATCGTTTCAAGAACCATTAAGTAGCATCGCAATGGAAATTAAAATGATTTCTAAATTCTTCACATATCTAATACTAACAAAATTTCTTTTGCTGACAAGCTTTGTAGTTGGTAAATTATTGAATTCAATATCACTGATTCTAAGATTTACTTTTCGCATGCCACAAAGCTTGTCTTTTTTCTGTTCTTCATCCTAAATCTAAAGAGCAACGAAATAGACGGATAGATATACTAGACTCAAATCGTTCAAAGTGACAGTGTTATCTTAATTCTAGCTTATTTTTATCTAATTGTTTTTTTACCGTTATTAAGTTTCTAAAAATAATATTGATTAAAAAAATCGGAACAGTGATTGGATCCTACTGATAGTGGGTCATCTTTATCGCAATTTGTTTAAAAGTAGAATTAATGTATTTCGCAATCGATCGAAAAAACACTCTTTCTAAAATTTTATTTCACAGAATTCAACGGACAGAAACGGTAAAAAATTTTAAGAAATTGAAGTCCAGTGAGGTCCAAATTGAACTCCATTGAGGTCCAAACTTAACCCTGAGTATTTGCAACTACAATCCCTATCGATTTCTTCCCTATCGATTATGTTAAATAATTTTTATACATCCACTTTACCATCTTATCCAGGCAGCCATCAGTCATTTTACTCTCTGTACATCTGCCCATG